GTAGTGAACAACAGCTGGCCAATGCAATCGACAATATAGTTTGTTTGTTTACATTTTTTGTTTACTTATTTTATTATTTACTTTTACGTTCTTAAAAGAGTCGCGGTGAATGGACAGTGAAGCTATTTATAGCTGTTTGTTACAAGTGAGTAACTAAAGGTGTTCGAACCATGATGACTATGAGATTAACAAACCATGTATGTTGTTCGTTCCAAGAGGTTGTCACCGATCTTTAACAGATCGCAATTTCATTGAAAAGTATTAAAGATGTCGTGAAAGAGAGTTGCGTGTTCAGGTACAACCTCGGCCAACCTTAGGACGTAAGGTATGAAGGTTCCACTGCCTTTAACATCCTTTCACATGAAAATTTCTCGAACTTGGGCCCTTTAAATGAAATATAAAGTCAAAGTTGATTAAATTAATTTAATGGTGGTTTCTGTTCACCCGTGAATTCACGGGTAGAACCTCTTGTTTCAGTTTAAAGTGTGAATTGTAGTTTAACAGCTGAATGTACATTCGTAGTACATTCATTCAGATAATTTAAACAAGAGACGTAGTATAAAAATAATGATAGGCCTACTTTAATTAAATTACAGTCTGGTGTAAGGTAAACAAAAAACTGCAGTGTTTAAAATAATGTTTACCTAAAAAAACTTCTGGTAGTGTCCTATTTACAAGCAAATACAAAGTGAAAGTAAATAACAATTTGTTATGTAAAAACCAGATAAACACTATAAACAGTATAAAATACGAAATTAAAAACTAAACCAATGTAACAAGAGACAAGTATGTTATAAAAATGCGTTTAAAATATAATCCTATATAATAATTAACAGTCTGGTGTATTGGTACAACAAAATATTAAAATTAAACTTAAATTCTTTATTTCGTTGGCTGCGTACGCTAAATTTTGGCCGTAAAAGTTTAATTTGGATACTTACTCGTTCTGTGTTATTTCACCTAATAACAACAGTACATTTAATTCCATCCAACATAATTTTTGTTGGAAATGCACAATGTTGAATTGTTGTTGTTTTGTTGTTGTTGTTGTTGTTCAAGTTAAAATTACTACAAGTATTTTGCATTTAAAGGTTTCGTAATACAGTAAAGTTAAATAGACACATTCTAGTGATGAAATGCACTATTTTGTATTGTTTTACTACCTTACACAAACATCTGTTACTTTTATATTTAGTGTTCGCGGCCAACGAAATAAAGAATTCAAGTTCAAATTACTACAAGTATTTTACATATAAATGTTTCGTAATACAGTACTGTTAAATAGGTACCCTCTAGTGATGAAATGCAATATTTTTTATTGTTTAACTACTGTACACGAACATCTGTTACATATTTAGCGTTCGCGGCCTAAGAAATAATGAATTCAAGTTCAAATAACTGCAAGTATTTTACATTTAAATTTGTCATAATACAGTACTAAAAACCACTATCATATACAGTATTAAAAGAAGCATAAAAGATTTATTATATGTAGTAAGAATTTGCGTATTTTTGAATCTAAAATTTTGAAACAAAAATAGGTTTATTTGGGGCGGATATCCACCACCCGTAGACACCATCACTTCCTGAGTCGTTAATGCCAAAGATTACAGCAGTATTCTAATACAATAGTAATGTATTTCCTAGAAGGTTGGCTCCAATGCTATTTGCCCTGTTTCCTGTGTCGACGACCCTGTCCACCACCCCACAGGTATTTCCGGGAGATTCCTGGGATTTAGTGGGTAAAGCGCAAGCTCAGGTCAGGTACCTACTCCCGAGAAACCTACCCTTTACACCACATAATAGGGGCAGCCCAGGCCGAGTCAGGGACAGCGCAGGCCGAAAGTCCGTTTCCCGTAATGGGAAGGGAGGAAAACAGGTCCATGACGTAGGAAATGAGGAAGAAAGTTGTAAGGCTAGCAGTGCAGAGTGTGGGAACCGTCTGCGGCATTTATGTATCTGCAATTCTAAAATAGTATAAGGAAGGAGGGCAAACAGGTCTACGACATAGGGAGTGGTGAAGGAAGTAGTAAGGGTGAGCAGTCCGGAGTGTGGGAATTGTTAATAACGATTGGATCAAGTTATCTACAATCCTAAAATGCTATGGGAAGGGAAGGAATTAGGTCCGTGACGTAGGAAGTGGTGAAGGAAGTAAGTAGTAAAGGCGAGCAGTCTGGAGTGTGGAAACTGTTTATGACGATTAGATTAAGGAATCTACAATCCTAAAATGCTATGGGAATGGAGGGAAACAGGTCCATGACGTAGGAAGTGGTGAAGGAAGTAGTAAAGGCGAGCAGTCTGGAGTGTGAAAACTGTTTATGACGATTAGATTAAGGAATCTGCAATCCTAAAATGCTATGGGAAGGGAGGGAAACAGGTTCACGACGTAGGAAGTGGTGAAGGAAGTAGTAAAGGTGAGCAGTCCGGAGTGTGGGAACTGTTAATAAAGATTAGATCAAGTTATCTACAATCCTAAAATGCTATGGGAAGGGAGGGAATCAGGTCCGCGACGTAGGAAGTGGTGAAGGAAGTAGTAAAGGCGAGCAGTCTGGAGTGAGGGAACTGTTTATGACGATTAGATTAAGGAATCTACAATCCTAAAATCCTATGGGAAGGGATGGAAAGAGGTCTGCAACATAGGAAGTGGTGAAGGAAGTAGTAAAGGTGAGCAGTCCGGAGTGTGGGAAATGTTTATGACGATTAGATTAAGGTATCTACAATCGTAAAATTCTATGGGAATGGAGGGAAACAGGTCTGCGACGTACGAAGAGGTGAAGGAAATAGTAAAGGCAAGCAGCCCGGAGTGTTGGAACTGTTAATGACGATTAGATTAGTGTATCTGCAATCCTAAAATGCCATTGGAAGGGAGAGAAACAGGTCCGCGACGTAGGAAGTGGTGAAGGAAGTAGTAAAGGTGAGCAGTCTGGATTCTGGGAACTGTTGATGGGAATTACATTAAGGTATCTACAATCCTAAAATGCTACGAGAAGGGAGGAAAACAGGTCCATGACGTAGGAAATGGTGTAGGAAGTAGTAATGCTAGCAGTGCAGAGTGTGGGAACTGTCTGTGTCATTTATGTATCTGCAATTCTAAAATGGTATAGGGAAGGAGGGAAAACAGGTCCACGACGTAGGGTGTGGTGAAGTAAGTAGTGAAGGTGAGCAGTGTGGAGATTGGGAGTAGATTAATATCTGCAATACTTTTCAGAGTAAACTAATAATTTCCCCCGAGCAAAGCTCGGTCCCCAGGTACTTTAACAGTAAACGGCACTTCTCTGTGGGCTACTGTACTTTGTTCCCGCGTAATTTAAAACAGGCTCGGTGATGACAGAAACCCGCGATCAGAGATGTTCACTGTTCAGTTCGGATTTCAATTCCGCTGTCCCGTTTCTAGACAGACGAAGGTGGGCGGTGACGGTCTGACGGCAACAGCGAGCACACACACACTCACTACACTACTGACTAGTTCACTAGTTGACTACTCAGTGTTGCCAATTGCGGGGAAAATCCTCGTTTTTCGAGGATTTCCAGACCCTGCGAGGATTTATGCGAGGATTCAGATTTTGCGAGTATTTTCGAGGATTTTCAGGTAAAGCACCTAGGATTTTTCTGATAATCGAGTATTCTCAGTGCCTAGGTCTCTTTAAAAATATATTGAAAATCCCTCTAAATCTAAGCATTGAATGAACAGCGTCCGCAACTGAAAAAAGTCAATCATCAATGATACAATGAATCAACCAATCAAATCTAAGAACAAGTAGATGAAGAAGAAGACAATGAAATGAGGGTGAACTTAAAACTAACTAACTGCCGAACTGGAAACTGGACTGGACTGACTGAAGTGAGGTGAAGTAATGCTATGCTCAGCTCCAGCTGTCGCTGTCAGCTCAGCTGAGCTGTGTGCTATAAGCCTGTAATTATGAAGTGAATGTGAATTCGAATTGAACTACTGAGGATATGACTGGGGCCGATATGTGTTTAACAATAAACTACCACACCTTTTTAGCATTTTCACCTGTACAGAAACTTGTCGTATGTTGGTTGCCTTCAGTTCAAATTTCCTTTCACGTAGGCCTACGTAGTAGAACCCGGTAGAACCTAACAAATTATGATTTATTACTCAGCTGTTCATGATGATTGGACTTTAAATCAATTATCCTGGCTGATGAAATATTAGTCAGTAACAAAGTTACACAGATCATCTCACACCATTCTACACTCATCTTTCACTCAAATTTGGGTAAAAATACGTACCTAAAATGGCGACCCCATTTCAATAATTTAGAATTTGTTAATTTTCAAAGTTAATAACAAATATTATTATTATTATAAGTATTATATAATGTATAATGTATTTTTTCAGGTACCGTATAAACACAGGGGTTTTTCTTATTTGTATAGTATTAAGACACGACCCGGCCACGGCCACGTATAAGGCGTGATTACGAGCTTACCTAAATTAGAATACCCTAAAAAAAAATAGTTTATGATTTATTAAAGAATTTCGACGTCGACATCAGCACACCCACAAATTAACCAAGATAAACTACTTATTCAGATTTGACAAAAATGTCAGGGCACAGGGATGGAAAACATACTTTTACCATTGATTATAATGCATGCGTTAAATCATAGATAGGCCTAAATATATTCCATTGTGTTGATTGGTCTATGGCTATTGGCTAGACCAATACTCACACATACTATTTACCAGAGCCCCTAATTTTTAAAGTACGATAGGTTAATCTGGTTAATGCATCTTTGTTTGGTAATTTGCACCTCTAGTAAAAAAAGAATAGGTGGAAACGTATATTATCATGTAAATATGGGGAAATTTCAAATTATTTTAATCTTTAGATGCTATCGAGGATTTTGGGAGTAATTTTAGAATCCTTGCGAGGAAAATCGAGGATTTCCGTCGTTCCATGCGGGGAAAACCAAAGAGGTCGGTTGGCAACACTGTGACTACTACAACACTACAACACAACACTAACACACACACACTTCAACTTCACTCTGCGACTGACTGCGTCCATCTCCTCTTGCATGTGTTTGTGTTCGTAAATGTAAATTGGGTGGTCAAAATTAAGAAAAATTAATGTTTTTGTGTTGAATTTCTAATCAAAATTGATTTTACAAAATCGTCATAATGTCTAAACGGAGGATAGAAGTTATAGATCCATACGTAACTAAGAAAAGGAGGTGAGAATCGATTAACTTACTCTTGGCATTGCCAGGGATTAGCTAACTTAACTTACCTACATTTGTTAATTTTGTTTAGGCTTTTACATGTTTAAGACTCCTGATATGGCCTATATGGAGTATATAAGTTAACTGATTTTTGATTTTATGTTTATCATAAGCCTAGGTATAGGAATTTTAATTCAAACAGCTTAAAGTCACAAGGCCTAGACCCATTCCTAATAATGTGCGGCTAACTTAGGCCTGGTTGGTTAAAGCTTTTATTAATAAGCTGATGGGACTAGGACTTTGGACCAAGCATTAACTTACAAGCCCATAAGTTAACTTAGGCCTAACTTATGTTGAAACAACGATAAATTAAGTTATTATAGAAAATTTCGTCTGTTAAGCTAGGCCTATTAATGGGACCAACTTAGGGTACCTCTGAAACTTAACCCTCCGATCGTCACCTGTCGAAAAATCGACTCACGACAAACTTTGTAGTGTCACTTGTCGATTTTTCGACACACGAACATCGTTTATGGCGAAGGCTCTATGACTGACTGAATCGGATTGAACTGGTTAGAGTTAGGTATCGTTCTTTTTGTTAGATTCAGAGCTTTCTCCGGAGGTCTGTCTCTAAGCGCTATTCATTTTAGTTCAGAAAATGTTGAGCAGACAGCTGACGTGCGTTTTTGTAAACAGCTCGGTTAACCTCGGACCGATGACTGATTTGTTTTTATTACGTTTATCATTGTTTTAGTGTTAACCCTAGCGCTGGCAAACGCCGGATATACAGCGCGAACGGCCGCGGCCGAAATGGCAACGCCGGATATACGGCGCCAATGCAGGTGTTACAGTAGGCCTATATAATTTTTTTTTTTTTTTTTTTTTTTTTTTTAGTATTGTTCGCTTTTTAGGGCTACTGTTGTAATAAATAAGTTAAATAATTCAAACCAGAGTACCCTGGAATTATATATTATATAAGGTGTACGGTTTTGTACATTACCTGGGTTGGATGATTATTTGGTACTAGCGCGGGGGTACGATCAACATAATAATAGGGTTATCAAACAAAATACATAAAGTAAGCTATATAAACTATATATTTTTGGAATCAGCATAAAATTTACTACAACTTTACAATTTACCTTATGATGATAAGTCTAACCTGCACTTAGCTACACGACGGAATATAAAACATTTTATAAAAAAACTAGTAGGCCTAATGCCTAAAATTCGGAAAAACTAAAAAAAAAAATTTTTTGTGGTAACCATGTAAACCACCTATATTATTGTTCTTTGTTTTATTCTGAACAAAATGATATATAATAATCCATAGTTATGTTGCTATTTCTATTTTTTATGATGGTTTAAAAATGATAATACATAATAGATGAGTGAACGAAGTGAACGAATCTATGTATCGTGTATAGCGGAGTCGGAGAAAAGTTGTCCGCTGGAGTATGTGTGTGTGTGTGTTCGCACCTAAAACTCAAGAACCGTTGCACTTATAGCGTTCAAATTTTGCACAAATAGTTATGACACCAGTGTAAAGACACCATTAAAATTCTAGACGATTCCGCTCAGTAGTAATTATAAAATACTTAAAAAACATTTTTAAATTTGTCCCATAAGAATAACATTAGGAGCTACCTTCTTCTTCTTTTTATTTGTTTACGTTTTGCGACCAACAATTTTGTTGTCTACTTAAGACAGAGAGAACGACTTTTACTCTAAGCTCTTTCATTCATGGAGTAAACAGTTTGGCGTCTATGAATATATATCATTATAATTTCACAGCTTTCAGAATAATGTTATTTAAGCTAATTAAATCTCACAACTTTCATAATAATAAATTGAACTTAACAATATTAGTCGGCAGTTATATACCGTTTATGTTCAGTATTAAAATTTCGCCTTTTAATTAAAAGTATATAAGTATGTATGTATTTAGAACAAAGCAGCTTTTTACATTATTCAATTTAATGTTGGCATTGAATATTAAATATTCAAAAATGTTGGTATATTTTTATACTAAAATGCTATGCGAAGGGGGGGGGAACAGGTCCCCGACGTAGAGAGTAGTAAAGCGGAAAGGTGAGCAGTGAAAAGAAAGGAGTACGGAAACCCTTTATGACTGTTAAATTAACGTATCTGTAATACTTAAATGCTATGGAAAGATAGGGAAACAGGTCTACGATGTAGGAAGTAGTGAAGGAAATAGTGAAGGAAGTAGTCAAGGCGAGCGCTGCGGAGTGTGGGGGGCCTTTATGACAGTTAGAATAATGTATCTGCAATTCTAAAAATGCTATGGGAAGGGAGAGAAACAGGTCAACGATGTAGGAAGTGGTGAAGGAAGTAGTCAAAGTGAGCAGTCCGGAGTGTGGGAAGCCTTTGTGACAATTAGAATAATGTATCTGCAATTCTAAAAATGCTATGGGAAGGGAGGGAAACAGGTTCACGACACTTAGGAAGTGGTGAAGGAAGTAGTCAAGGCGAGCATTCCGGAGTGTGGGAACCCTTTGTGGCAGTTAGATTAATGTATCTGCCATAATAAAATGCTATAGGAAGGGAGGGAAACAGGTCCACGACGTAAGAAGCGGTAAAGGAAGTAGTCAAGGCGAGCAGTCCGGAGTGTAGAAACCCTTTGTGGCAGTTCGATTAATATACCTGCAATACTAAAATGCTATAGGAAGGGAAGGAAACAGGTCCACGACGTCGGAAGCGGTAATGGAAGTAGTCAAGGCGAGCAGTCCGGAGTGTAGAAACCCTTTGTGGCAGTTAGATTAGTGTAACTGCAATTCTAAAATGCTATGAGAAGGGAGGGAAACAGGTCCATGACGTAGGAAGCGGTGATGGAAGTAGTCAAGGCGAGCAGTTGGAGTGTAGAAACCCTTTGTGACAGTTAGATTAATATACCTGCAATACTAAAATGCTATAGGAAGGGAGGGAAACAGGTCCACGACGTAGGAAGTGGTGAAGGAAGTAGTCAATGTGAGCAGTCCGGAGTGTCGGAAGCCTTTGTGATAATTAGAATAATGTATCTGCAATTCTAAAAATGCTATGGGAAGGGAGGGAAACAGGTTCACGACACTTATGAAGTACTGAAGGAAGTAGTCAAGGCAAGCATTCCGGAGTGTGGGAACCCTTTGTGGCAGTTAGATTAATGTATCTGCCATAATGAAATGCTATAGGAAGGGAGGGAAACAGGTCCACGACGTAGGAAGCGGTAAAGGAAGTAGTCAAGGCGAGCAGTCCGGAGTGTAGAAACCATTTGTGGCAGTTAGATTAATATACCTGCAATACTAAAATGCTATAGGAAGGGAAGGAAACAGGTCCACGACGTAGGAAGTGGTGAAGGAAATAGTCGAGGCGAGCATTCCGGAGTGTAGAAACCTTTTGTGATAATTAGAATAATGTACAGTATCTGCAATTCTAAAAATGCTATGGGAAGGGAGGGAAACAGGTCCACGACGTAGGAAGTGGTAAAGGAAGTAGTCAAGGTGAACAGTCCAGAGTGTGGGAACTCTTTGTGACAGTTAGATTAACGTATCTGCAATAGTAAAATGCTATGAGAAGAGAGGGAAACAGGAAATACGTTACGTATATTACCAATGACTTTGGTTAATTAATGGACGAGAAGTTAGGATTGTTGTTGACTGAGATTTGGTTTTTTTTAAGAGGTTGGTCCAGCCTCTTTTAACCTCGCCCGTGCGTGGATCGTTTACAGCAAAGCAATTGGTGAGCCAGAACAGTACAAAGGTGAACTGTACTGATAAAATTTAGTGGCAGTGACCAGGATCCGAACTTACGACATCGCTGCCTTGGGCCCGAAGTTCGCGTGACGCTACCGACTTGAGTCACCGACTCACCATTATTTGCTCCGACTCATGGGTTGATTTGCCCATACAAATAACATTTTTTTGTACACCAGTGACACCGGTAAGTGGGCTAGGTGTGGGTAAACTCTTTCATTATTGCGCTCATGTTCACTCATCCTGTTACGCGCAGAATAAGCGTACTACTAGTTAATAAAATCCCTATGCCAGTACAGCGTTACACTACTGCCAGCTCTAGGGTTAAAAATCAAAAGTAGTGACATACGCGGTGCATTATAAGGAGATTTAAGTGATTTTGAAGGGCTGGTTGATGATCCTGAAGAAGTAGGTAAGTTAGTGATATTGATGTAAATTATCAGCCAGATTCCTAGCTATGGTTAGGCCATGCATTCTTAGCTAAACGCTATGTACTGAAATCTGTTTTTGCCCATAACTTATTTATTTGCAAATCTACTTCCTTATATTATTATATATTTGTAATCCTCATAAAATTTAGAACAAAGTGGCTATTTTCAAATATTTATAGGCCTAGCCTATAATTTATACAATTTCATTGAGCGCGGACTTATTATTTTTCTTTTTATTTTCCTAAATAATTTTTTTTTACCTAAAAAAATTTTTTGAAACAAATGTTCCTTATGTTTTATGTATAATATTAAAGCCCATGATTTTCCAAACAAAATGGTATATAGAACAGTAGAATTAAGTTAACATTGTTTTAAGCTTCTCAGATCCGTTTTAATAAAACCTTGCAAATGCGCCAAAAATAGGCGGACATTAAGGCCTAAACTATGGACACTCGGAGGGTTAAACTTACTCAAGGCCTATAGGGCCTTTTTTATTTATTTTATTTTATTTTTTTAACAGAGGTTTAGGCTTACAAGTGACCATGGGATTGCATTGCAGCTAGGTAGGAGCTGACCGGTGTGCTCTCTGGTTGAAACACCCTCTCCCTCTCCCTCTTTTGTCCTCGTCTTCTTTTTTTTTGCTCCAGACATCCTCATGTGTCAGATACTCTCGCACCCTCTTTCCACCTTTCTTCCTGGAGGCTTCATTAGAGTCAGCTTTGGGGGTGCCGCCCTCGCCCTGCTTTTTCCCAGCTTCCTGGTTCCCGGAAGAACTGGCCTTTGCAGGGAGCAGAGTTAGGGTGCTTAGCAGCCCACGCCAGCCTCCTCTCAC